TCAAACTTTCAAGAGGTGGTCCAAAACCAACTAAAGGGACTAAATAGAAAACCCTAGCTAGATCTAATGAATAAGATGGCAAGATCAAAGCTTTATACCTCCAGAAGCTCTTCAAGGTGAACTAGATGCAGATTCTTGAAGCCCAATGCCACTCCAAGCTTGCTTAGCAACTCCTTCTTCTTGAATGGACACTAAAATGGCCATAAATACACTCCTTAAGCTCAAAAACACTCTCACAAGGTATCTCTGGTGTAGAAGGGCAAAATAAGACTATGGAGGGTGACTAGGGTTTGGTCTAAGAGGCTTAAGAGTGTTTAAATAGGTGTCAAGTCCAAGAATGTCACACCCCGCTAAAGCGGAAACACGAGGCGTGGCAGTATAAAGGGTTTCATAGCAAAAGTTAAAAGACAACACCAACCATAGTATTAAAAATCATTACAAATTTACAATGGGGTTGAACAACTTTTAAAAGAAATTACAATGAAAATTGAAATACAACACATGCGAATGCTCCTAAAAGTGATGTGTCCCTAAGTGCCACTTACTCGATGATTCTTGAAAAAGCATATAAAACGAGCGTCAACTATAAAAATAGTTGGTGAGTACTCACAAATAAAAAAAAAATTGGTTTCATGAATCGAAATCAAGTTTTGATAAAAGTTTCCATAAATGAAAATATATTGTTAAAATGAGTAATCAAGTTCATTGCTGCAAGGAGCAAACAATTTCATTGCTAAAACATGTATATAAGTTTCCAATAATAAAATTTCGATGTTGTAATGCGAAACAAAGTTCATTGCTATAATGAGAAACAAAGTTCATTGCTATAACTAATAAACAAGTTCATTGCCATAATTAATAACAATTTTTGTATGTGTATGAGCAAACAATGAGTTCACAACCAAGCCTATGACTGATGCCCTATCAAGATCTATGCTTATCGTTCCATAGATTAATATGGTATCATGCACTCAAGCAATCGGGCGAGTGAGGAGTTGTGAATTCCTAATAGCGCTATCTATAATGACCATTGGCTCAAAGAGTTAATAGTTGGAGTAAAGTGTAAATGGAAGGGACTTAAGACGATAAGGCCTCATGTTTCAAGTTGCATAAACATAAATAGCAAAATATAGCAATCAAGTTTGATACAAATCAATTTAAGTACAACAAACAAAAAATAGTTTTTGGACATGCTTTTCTACCCCAAAACATTTAAAACCGAAAATAGGGGAAGTCGTGAATAGTCACAATGCATTGAGATGATGCAAATGGTGCCTTGACTACGCTCCACTCGTACCACTATCGATTCCTACAATAATGGTATTCGCTAGTGAGTCTCTAATCGAAATCTAACACTAGTATACTTACTACTACTATAGAATTATGCCAATATTATGTCAAAATTTAATATTGGTAAGTTACAAACATTTTTCTGAAATTGTGAAATTTTATAACTCATGTGATTAAGATAATTTTGGATATTATTTTCCATAATTTTGTAATATTAATTGAGGGTATTTCAATACATTTAAAGGTGTTTTAAACTCCTAAAAATCCAAAAATATTATCAAACAGTTTCCAAAATTCATCAAATTTTACATTTTTGTTCCAAATACAGTAGATGTCTTCCAAAAATTTTCTCTTGAATTTTTGATGTGATTAACTATTTTTCCAAAATTTTAAGCCTTCATATCAATGTAAATTCGTGAAAAATAGTATCCTGATAATAAAAATTCTAAAACTTTTTATATTACTGCCACTAAACATACTTAAGCTAGGAAAAATGTAAAAATAGGTTTCTAAACAGTTTATGGGCATGTTTGGAAAAAGTAGCTGTTAGCTGGAAGCGGGTAGCGGTTAGCTGGTAGCGTGTAGCGGGTAGCTGGTAGCGGGAAGCTGTAGCTTTTATTTGTTATATGAATGTTTGGCAAAAGTAGCTGGAAGCTTTTGAAATATATAAAATTACATAAAAGAACAATTGATTAAAAGTAAATAAATATATAAATATATATTTTTAGGGTAATTATGGAAATTGATTTCAAAAGCTCAGTAGCGTTTTGTTAAACGCTACATGAAGTAGCTTTTAGAATGAGAGCGTTTTGTTTAAATTAAAAGCTAAACGCTCGTACTGCCAAACGAAGCTTTTTGTTTAAACTAGAGCGTTTTGTCAAAAACTAAAAGCTAGAAGCTCTCAAACGCTTCCAAAAGCTCCGTGCCAAACACGCCTTATCCCGATTTTATGATTTTTATGCATTTATTCTAACAAAAATGAAAATAAATAGAAGATAGTGTACATAGTTAAAGTAAATTACCAAAATTTTTGTAAACTCCATTTACAGTGTACATAATCTGGGAAAAATACCAATGGTGATTTTAATATAGTGTAATCCGATTTTGTGGATTTAAGTGTATTTAATCTTAGAAAATAAGGGAAAAATAGTATACTGAATAGAAAAATTATCACAATTTTTATTTAGAGTTCTAATACATTATAAGGTCTTCTGGTAAATTTTCATGAATTTTGGATAAGTAGAACTATTTTTCCTGTTTTTAGTCCATTATAAATACAAAAATCGGGGAAAAATAGAAATGCATTATGAACAATTCTGAAAATATTTTTCTGAGGCTTACAGATAGGGTAGGATCTATGAAAATTATTAGATACCCTTTTCTTATTCTCTAAAGTGGTTTTATGATTTATTGGGGCTAAACAAAAAGAAAATACAAAACCACATTAAACAGTAACAAAAATCGATGAAATTAAATGAGAAGTCATTACTTAGCATAGGAGTCATCCACGAATTTACCTAGGATTTATAGACCTCAGAAAATATTTTATATGATTTATTTCCCTATTTTATTGCAATAATTATAATAATTCGAGAAAAATGAATTATTTTCTGAAAATTTGTAGAACATCTCATATTGTTGGTGGAATACAGGGAACAATCGGATTTGATCAGAAAAGTTGATTTATATATTTATTTGGGAATAAATCCTTTATAAACCTATTTGAAAGCTTTTTAACAACAAACTTTGATCATCAAGCTTCTAAGCTTGAAGATCATCACATGCATGTTGGTTTGAAGACCAATCATGAGTTTGAAATGTTAAAAAAATCGTTTTTGATAGAAAACATAGGGTGCATGTGGTGATTTTCACCCAAAACTTGTAGAAAAGTGCATTATGTTGATTTTGACTTAGGTTTTGGTCCTTGGATTTCACCATTTACAACATGCATGTTGTTTTTGGGTGAAATCCTACCACCATCATCATCAAAACCGTGAGTTTGTGTGTGTCTTTTTATGTGTTCATGATCTTTCATTAGAATGGAGTAGAAGATGGAGAAAATGTAGCAAACTTTGTAAATCTTGAAAGAAAAGTGAAGGAAAGTAAAGGATTTTCGTGTCTACCTTTAAGAATAACATCAAATGATGAAGATTTTGTGCTTGAGAAGTGTTATTGGCTGTATAATTTTCGTGAGTTTAGAGAGATATTTGAGAGAAATGAGTAGAGTAGGTGTTGGAGTGTGAGAGAGAGTGAAGAGGAGAAGATGGAGTGTGAGGGTGAAGTGAATGATTGAAATTTTTGGGAAGAGGGTGCCTAGGAAAGAGGGGGGACGAATTTTGAAGAGGAGAGAGGTTCCCTCACTCTTTCATTTTTATAAAATTCCAATTATTTTATAAAAGCACCTATTTTATAAAATATGCACCTTAATATAGTTTTTACTCATAAAATATTGATTTTTGATTTATAAATTAAGGGTAAATATTAATGACTTAAAATTTTTATTTTCCTTGATTATATTTCCTTGAATTTAATTATTTTAAGATAATATTATAAGTTTCATAACTATTTTTATAGAATTCTTGATGTTAAAGTTTATAAAATTTAGGTTTTAGGGCTTTTAGGGTTTTGAGATTTAATAAATCTTTGGATATCAAAATCAATAGAATCTTTGAGACTTCAATTTATCTTATGGTACTATAACTCTTTTATAGTTATAAATAATGTTTGTAACTTATTTTATCGGTTTATTGGCATTCTATGTAGTGATTCCGAGATTCAAGCGAAATTGAGGAATCAAGTATACTAGTCCCAGTTTTCAACTTTGACTTAAGTTCCTACGAGACTCGGTCCTAATTTATACCACTAGGTCAAATGAATAGTGTGTGTATATGATTCATGAAAAGGTGTTCAAGTCAAAGAGTGACCCGAATATGGATAGTCACTGCAGTTAAGTAGTTATAGAATTCACATATCAATGTGAAATCTAAGTACACTATCCATTGTTTCTACCTGTTTCCAAGTTTCTACTAGGTTATAACTTAGCTTCTAGTTACTAAGTCTAGTATGTGTCGTGCCTATACGTGCAACTAAGTTTAGTCAAATCTAGAACCGACTCGAATTTTGACAGTTGTCACAAAGAATTAGGGTTTTGGCCCTCTGTCGCGTACGCCCCGCGTACCTATACGTACGCCCTGCGTACGCAGCTACCTTCCGCGATCATGCATCCTTAGTACGCTAAGCGTATTCCTGGAGTACGCCTCACGTACTAAGGTACCTTTTATGCCATCTTTTCCTTTTCAAGGGTCTAAAGGGTAATACCTGAATTGGAGTGTTACAACTCTCCCGCACTTGGACTAGAATTCGTCCTCGAAGTCCGTAGACGCAAATAGATCGGGGTAATGCTCCCACATCCACTACTAGAAAACAACCCTTTAACGACGCGCAAACAATGACACTCGCTGATAGAGGACGCACATTTGTGCGTGCCCTAAAAAATAATGTCGGTTTTGCAAAATTTGAAGGATAGAGGACGCGCATTTGTGCGTGTCCTAAAAATAGTGTCCAACAAAAAAATTAAAAATACGGAGGGCACCTATCATAAAAAAGCGTGTCGTCTAAAACTGTCGCTTTATATTTTTCATTATGAACGCGCTTTCTCAAATTTTTTAATTGCCAAGTGGGGAATGAAATCCAAAATATAAAAAATACCACCGCTATACTCTCGTCCTTCTTCTTCTTCTTCGTATGTAAAATCCTCTTCAATCAAAAGAAACCCTAAAAGCATTGTGTGTAAAACATCGATAATTTCATACTTGAAGTTCCTAAAATCTTCATCGATCAAAACAAACCCTAAAACCTCGCCTGATACCCACCTCAACTACCTCCAACCCACACCGACTTTCCCGTTGTTTTTCTTCATAATCATCCCCTTCTTAGGTATGGCTTCATGTTCGGAAGAGAAATAGGACCTCTAGAACTATCCGAACCAATCTCATCGAACCCAGATTTTTCAAGGTCCGAGTGGGTTACCAGTTCTGAATCACAGTACTGGACCACCTATGCTTCCTGGATCTGGTCCCGGTCCCGCTCCTTCAGCTCCTGGTTCTTCCAATTCCGTTCATGGAACTAATCTTCCCTCTGCTTCTTCCCCTCTTAATCCAGCTGTCAGGTAATTCTGTAAATAACTTTCTTTCAATGACTTGTTTTTTGTTTCAAATTCTGATTTATTTATTTTAATGTATGTAAAGGGAGGGAAGATACGGGATCCCTAGAGCGGGGTCGTTATCGGTACAATCAAATGTTGTCTGCAAGAAACGCAAATCATTCGAGTTTGCCTCCAAAACCCCCCATCTTTGACCCTTTGGATTCATCATCTACTCTATTTGTGGCTTCTTTCTTCCCCACTTCATTCTCACATCTTCTGGTATGTTATGTCCTTCTTCCACATGTTCTGATTCTTCGCAGATCTGTTACAAAACTTATTATTGTTTTTGTTTACTTTCAGGTTGTGGATCACTAAATGGTGGAGAAATTTGAGGTAATGCCATCGTTTTAAAACTCGTCAGAAGCGTAGGCCTTGAGGCGCGCCTTAAGGCGAAGCGGACCATGGCCGAACTAGAGGCGCCGCCTCTGTGGTTGGATTTGAGACGTATGCTTCGTCCAGGTGAAGCGTAGATGAATCGGTAGAGGCGGTGCGTTCTTCAGAAACGTACGCCTTGATTTTTTAGTCTAATTTTGACTTATTTTGACTTTTTTCTTTTCCAACACCTGGTCTGCATCGCATCTTGCAATTCTTCCTCAATTGATGAAATTGATGTTCCATACATTTGATTGAGTCTACCAGATGTTGTTTGGATATCCAATTTCAGAAACATACGCCTTGATTTTTAGTCTAATTTTGACTTATTTTGACTTTTTTCTTTTCCAATCGCACTGTTTTGCATCGCATCTTGTAATTCTTCCTCAATTGATGGAATTGATGTTCCATACATTCAATTGAGTCTACCAAATGTTTTTTGGATATCCAATTTCTTGATTTGATGTATCAACGCTGGATTTGATGTATTAACGCTTAAGAAAGTTGATTTTGATTCAGAAGTTGTTACGAAAAAGCCTCATGATCTATGTGCACATTTAGGATATTAATTCAGAATCAAAGCAGTTTTCTGCATCATTACCTTTAGTAATCCAACTAATTACATTCTTCTATTCGGAGGTGAATGAACTTGAGCTTTAAATATTTTAAATTACATTTACAGGGGCATTTTAGGTATCAACCAGGTCAGGTTAGAGCCTTTGGAATGATAGCTGGTGGATCTGGCATCACTCCGATGTTTCAGGTGTTTATTTATTTATTTCAAACCTTATTTTTTTTATAAATAAAATAAAATAAGATGGTAATTTATATTCTGTGTTAGGTTACTAGAGCTGGTCTTGAAAACCCTTCAGACAAGACAAAGGTGCATCTCATCTATGCTAATGTCACATCTGATGACATCCTTCTTAAGGCAAGTAATTAATTAATTAATTATATATACACTTTTTTAGTTTCTTATAAGTATTTAATTAAGGATAATTTAAATAATTTGATGAGGGATTAATTACACTTATAGGAAGAACTGGAGGGACTTACTTCTAATTACCCTGATCGCTTCAAAGTTTACTATGTATTGAATCAGGTAGGTATTATTCTTAGTAACAAAAAACCTATGATAAACAAATCAATGAAAGTAGGTTGTTGTTTGTTTCATTGAATTAAACCTAATAACTTTTGGGTTTATTATAAAATATAAATTAAAATAAAGGGCCTGGTTTTGTATTTGTGAAGCCACCGGAGGGATGGAAAGGTGGCGTTGGGTTTGTATCAAAAGAAATGATCCAAGACCATTTACCTGCACCTTCATTTGATATCAAGGTATCTTATTCTAATTCTACTCCTTTCATTCAAACATGTTTTCAAATATTTATTCAACAGTGGTAAAAAAAAGTCTAAAATACATATTATGTGTTTGTTGTGTGAACATATTTTACGATGTGGACCACCACCAATGAACAAGGCGATGGTTGCTCATCTTGAAGCTTTGGGATATGAATCAGATATGCTATTCCAAATTTAAATTCAAAACCTCCTATTCAGAATTTGAGATTTGAGATTCTGTTTGTTGTATTTGGGATTTTGTTAGCCAGGGTTGTGTTGAATAAAGTTTAGTTTAATTTCCATCTCAACCTCTCCAGGCTGAGTAATGCACTAACTAAAACATACCATATGATTAGATCAAAGTCTCTTTTAAATCCTTCTTTTTGCACCAAGTTAATATCCAAGTTTAAATCCTTCATTAACTGCTATATTATATCAAATCTTGATGTTCTCTTTCATTCTTTACATACACAACTTTTTCTATAAACATCATTCCAACTTGATGGTGTGTTTATGACATAAAATTGATTTATTGTCATGTTATCATACAAAGAAACTTGTAAAAAAATGCATAACGATAAGCACATTGCATTTGTGGAGAACTAATGATAGACAATATGCTTTTGGTTTTATCAAAGAAATTTGAAAATCTGAAGCTATTACAAATAGCATCTATTGGTGATATAATTTTTAAAACTGATCCTCAATTAGGCTGTTTGCCTATTTGCTGAGCAATGGAGTTCTTGCAAGCGCCTGAGATCCAAATTGGCATTGGTTTTGCTGTTGTCATTGTTACCCTTGTTGCTTTCATCCTTTTCTCCTCCAAGAAAACCAAAGGTTCATCATACTCCATAAACTCACTTTATTTTTATTATTTTTATTCCAAGTTCCATTTTTGGCTCATGGGTTCCATCTGGTTTATCTGAAAGACTAAATCATAAGTTTATGTGTTGTTGTGAACAAACAGGGTCCATAGATCCTGAAAATTTTAAGCAATTCAAGCTTGTTAAGCGCACACAACTTAGCCATAATGTGACCAAGTTCATATTTGCTCTTCCTACACCTACTTCAGTCTTGGGACTTCCTATTGGATAGCATATTAGTTGCAGGTATTGATAGCAAACTGGTTTATCCATTTCAAATTTTCACCAAAATTGACATGAAATTCTACAACTCTCGAGAAATTAATTGTGGTACATGGGAAAAGTCTTGGTTTTAATTGATAACAAATACATATACATTAAGGCTGAATGCAAGAAACACAATGTACTTTTGTTTAATTGTGTTTTATAACTTTTATTTCTTTCTATTACAGAAGTGTTTTTTTTCTTGTCTAGGCATTTTGCTTTGAAAATCTACCCAAATCTATTAGTGAAATTTGGCATTCTTATAATTGGGTAGAGTTTTCATAGTATAATGCTGAAATAGGAAAGAACGAAAGTATGATGCTATAATAAACAAATCAATGATAGTACATTGCTCTTTTTTGCATGTAAACATATAAATTTTGATCTCAAAATGCATATACATAAAGGAATGTTTTTTTTACTAATCAATTTGCTTGTTTTGTATTTGATCCTTTAGGGGTACAGATGGACAAGGTGAAGAGGTTATTAAACCATACACCCCAACCACTTTGGATTCTGATGTTGGATATTTTGAGCTTGTTATTAAGGTACATAATATATTATACAAATTTGTTTACACTTATCATTTATGTTATATATGCATTTTGTGTTTTTATATAAATCATCATATTGTGATGTGTAAATGTAGATGTATCCACAAGGTAGGATGTCCCACCACTTCAGAGAGATGCGTGAAAGTGATATGGCTGTAAAGGGACCTAAGGTAAATCAAGTCATTTATATTTGTGCTATGTGTTTTTTTATTGTTTTCTTTTCTATAAATTTATGTTTAATGATGAATCATCTGGTGTGATGTTAGTTATGTGATGAATTGAAACTAATCTTATTTGTAAGTAAGTTTATTTATTTGTTTTGGACTTGAGCTTAAAATATTGTAAATTACATTTTATAGGTGTACGCATGTTGCCAGCTGGAAGCGGTATGGGTGTTATGTGTGGGATGACTAGAGGCATCAAGATGGCAAGACCCCCCTCTTCCTCCATCATGAATTCCACTACTGGTTTGTTGACTTCCAGTACACCAACACCTGCTCAAGGAAACTCCATGTTGAGATCACGTGAGGCTATGCATATGATTCGGGTGAGTTCCAACGGAATTGGAATTTGAGATTCCATTCCATTGCAGGTTTGGTTGGCCAAACTGAGGGAACGAAGTTCATTCCTTATATATATAAATATATTTTTGTGAAAAGACTAAAATACCCTTTTATCAATGTTTTGATTTCTTTATACAGCCCAACCAGAACACGGTGGTGGCGGAACAAGCATCACAAAGTCAACTCTAAATTCCTATTGTATTTCAGTATGGATTAATTGATAAGTCAACTCTGCAGACCCCTGTTGGGCCGCCAGGGTAAGGAAGTCCATGGTCGTTATTTGAAGACCAGGTCAAACTTTTTTTCACTAAATTTTTATGTATTATATTTGTTGAGAAATAAGTGTTGTTTATAAAATTTGTGTTGTCTCCTCAGGCACTTGTTGTGTTGGTTCATGATATGGGTCCAAACTTGGAGCTTATAAGTGATGCCGTTAACAGCACTTTGCAATTCAAGGTAACTATCATATCTGTTGTGTTGTGTTGGTTCGTGATGTACATCATTCAACCCCAAACCGTATTTCAAGTTATTGATTGATTGGCTGCTTGACCTTAGTACCCTTGATCCGGTTTTTGAAGGTGCAAACTTTCAGGTGGGTATCACTTTTCTCTTTTCTCTATCATATCATCTTGTATTGTATTGCATGTTAAGTTACCGATTTGCCCTGTGCAGGTTCTGACAGCTCTAGCAACCTCCTTCCATGCCCTGCAGCCTCTCAAAGTTCCTGCATTCAAGTTATTCTCTTAGAAAGGAAATTGTCAAAGGAGAATTTAGTCATGGGTTTCTTTTAATGTTGTACATGTTTTGTTTTCTGTAATAAATATTATGCAATATTAGCAATGTGTTACATTTACTTACTATTGGAATGATTATTTGTATTTGACATATTAGTGCAATGAATTATCTTTATTGTTTATGGTATTTTATTTTGTATTATGAGACTTTTAATGTGTTATTTAATTTGAAAATTAGTAAATCTATCAAAAATATATAATTTTAAAACCATTTAAAATTATGACACGCAAAAATGCGTGTCGTCTTCCTTTATGACAGGGGCTTCCTTGATACGCATTGCGTGTCATAAACACGCGCGTCGTAAGGTTACGACACGCAAATGCGTGTTGTCTTCCTTTATGACAGGGCCTTCCTTGATACGCATTGCGTGTCATAACTGCGCGTCGTAAATGCGTGTCATAAATGCGCGTCGTAAATGCGCGTCGTAAATAGACGACGCGGAAAAGCGCGTCGTCTCTCGTTATGACAGGGCCTTCCTTGACATGCATTTTCACGTCGTCTGAGCGTTTTACGACACGCATTGCGCGTCGTAAAAGACTGTTTTTCTAGTAGTGATCTCGTCCTCCGACTCCCATGTCCATTCGGAGCCTCTTCGGTGCTGCCATTGCACATTCACCAGATTCACCTCCTTTTTATGAAGAACCTTAGTCTTCCTATCCAAAACCGCAATGGGTCTCTCAATGTAGTTCAGGCTCTCTTCCACCTGAATGTCGTCCAAGGAAATAATCGCGGCTTCGTTTGTGACACACTTTCGAAGCTGAGACACACCGAAGGTGTTATGTATCTGGCTGAGCTCATTCGGTAGATCTAATCGGTAGGCCACCTTGCCTACCTGGGCTGAAATCCTGAACGGTCCAATATACCGGGGCCCTAACTTGCCCCTCTTCCAGAACCGAATAACACCCTTCCATGGTGATACCTTCAGCAAGACAAAGTCTCCCACTTGGAACTCAAGATCCGATCGACGCCGGTCAACATAGCTTTTCTGACGGCTCTGTGCGACTCGCAGCCTGTCGCGCACCTGCTGAATCAACTCGGTAGTCTTGATAACCACTTCGGTGCTCCCCATGACTCGGTGCCCTACCTCACCCCAACAAACAGGGGTCCTACACCTCCATCCATACTACATCTTGAACGGTGGTCGATCGATACTAGCATGATAACTATTGTTATATGAAAACTCTGCTAGCAGGGGCGGAGCTAGGATTTTGGGATAACGGGGGCTTATATCTTAATAAAAATTTAAAATATTTTTTATATCAAAATATCATAATAGAGCTTGTAAAATTCACAAAGAAATTAATAAGAAAAAAATCGTCTAGATATATATAGGAACGTATCGATTTTTATTAGTATCACTAATCGGATACAATTGTGTGTAATACAAAAGAATCGATGGGATGCTTGTTTTTTATTCATTATTTACCCTATAATTATAATAAACCAAATTATCAATAATAATTAAATTATTATTTACAAGTTACAAAAAATAATATATGTAATAAGAATTAAAATTTATTTAAAGTATTGAAATCTTGTAGATGTAGCTGTGAATCTAAGAACAGTTTCTTAAACATAATGTTGGACAATCTTGGTTAATCGTCAATTATAATATCTATTTGCAAACAAATGATAGTGACGAAATAAGATAAATAGGCATATAATGAATAAATAGGCATATAATCACTGACCAATTAAAATATAAGAAATAAGGGTGGAGGCAATGATCTTTAAGTCAGACGTGTACAATTCTCACCGTCAATTTTATTTATATATGATAATCATTTACTTTTTAATAATTGGGAGGGGCTCATTATTAATAAGTAATAGATATGGGCTCATTTTATATATAATATATCAGAACTTTCAAAGAGATCAAGGGGGGCAAAGCATCCGGCAGCCCCCCTATTCTCTCCGCCACTGTCTGCTAGTGGGAGGTATGTATCCCAGCTCCCTCCAAAATCCAACACGCATGCCCGAAGCATATCCTTAAGTGTCTGGATCGTCCTCTCACTCTGGCCATCTTTCTGGGGGTGGTACGCCGTGCTAAAATTCAACTGAGTGCCCAGTTCCTTGTGGAATTTCTTCCAGAATCTAGATATAAATCGAACATCTCTGTTAAAGACTACCGAAACTGGCACCCCGTGTCTATCCACCACCTCTTGCACATAAATATCCGCCAACTTCTCAGCGGATATACTCTCAGAGATCGAAATAAAGTGGACACTCTTCGTCAACCTGTCCACAATCACCCATATGACATCTACACCCCTCGTTGTCCTTGGTAAGTTCGTGATGAAGTCCATAGTGATATCTTCCCACTTCCACATGGGAATGGGTAGCGGCTGAACCTTGCCATGCGGCCGCTGATATTCGGCCTTGACCTTCCTACAGGTCAAGCACCGCTCCATGAACCAGGTGATCTCCCGATTCATACAGGGCCACCAATAGCTCAGTCTTAGATCTCTATACATTTTCGTAGCCCCCGGATTTATAGAGAACTTGGACTTGTGTGCCTCCTCCAATATCTTCTGTCTCACTCCTCCAGTCATCGGTACCCACACCCGGCCACACTGTGTCAGGAGACCTCGGCTATCCTGAACAAACAAGGGATACTGTGACAACCGCCAAAATTCGAGTCGGTTCTAGATTTGACTAAACTTAGTTGCACGTATAGGCACGACACATACTAGATTTAGTAACTAGAAGCTAAGTTATAACCTACTAGAAACTTGGAAACAAGTAGAATCGAATGATAGTGTACTTAGATTTCACATGGTCATGTGAATTCTACATCTACTTAACTTTAGTGACTATCCACATTCGAGTCATTCCTTGACTTGAACACCATTTCATGAATCATATACACCCATCTTGCACTTGACCTAGTAATAGAAATTAGGTCATAATCTCATAGAAACTTGAGTCAAAGTTGAAAACTAGGACTAGTATACTTGATTCCTCAATTTCGCTTGAATCTCGAAACCACTACATAGAATGCCAATAAACAGATAAAATAAGCTACAAATATTATTTATAACTATAAAAGAGTTATAATACCATAAGATAAATTGAAGTCTCAAAGATTCTATTGATTTTGATATCTACAGATTTATTAAATCTCAAAACCCTAAAAGCCCTAAAACCTAAATTTTATAATATTTGACATCAAGAATTCTATAAAAATAGTTATGAAACTTATAATATTATCTTAAAACAATTAAATTCAGGGAAATATAATCAAGGAAAATAAAAATTTAAGTCATTAACATTCATCCTTAATTTATAAGTCAAAAATCAAGGTTTCATGAATAAAAACTTGATTTTAGTGCACATTTTATATAAAATTTAGATATTTTATAAAATAACTTAAATTTTATAAAACAAAATGAATGAGAAAGGGGTATTATACTCAAAATTTCGGACCCCTCTCTTCCCATATCTCTCTCTCACACTCTCATTCTCCAACACACACACATCTCTCTTCTTTCTCTCTCTACCTTCTCTCTAATTTTTTTCTCCAAACACCACAACCACAGCCGCTTAACCACGAAATTATGGAGATTCATAAGGGTTTTTCAAGCCACAAATAAATTTAAGGTAAAGAACATACATCTCTTGAAGATCCACAACAATGATTTAAGCCATGCATGTGCATTTTACTTCAAAAACCGACTTCTACTTCGTCATCTTCTTCAAACTTGTTTTCTTTTTGTTAAAATGGTTTTTAGAACATCATGGATGTGTTTTAACACCATGCATGTATGATAAACAAGGTTGCATGTTCATGATCTTAGTGCAAAAATCGATTTTAAGGATTAAAACATCAAACTCAAGTTAAGAGTTTTTGAGAAACAAAATTTTGTTCATAAATGCATGCATACATTTTGATAAGTTTTAATCTTTTGATCTCTGGAAACATGACTAGAATATAAGTTTATCATGATATCTTTTAAAATATTTCAAAAGATTTACTCAAAGAAATGATGAAAACTCACTTTTCTAACCAATCACCATGCATGCAATCTGCCAGATTTCTTTACCTGACTTTAAACTGCCATATCTCACTCATTTCTTAACCAAAATTCGAGATTCGTTTTCTGAAATATAATATTTTGAGTTAGCTTTCAAACCCATCTAACCTCACTGGAAAATTCAAATATTTCGATTTTTAGTAATTTTTACAAAACTGTTGCTCAATCAGCACTTTTTGTGAATACTAGTTTTGTATTGCATGTTCAAAGGTCTTATTCATCACTAAAAATCAAGGAAAATTTAATTTGATCACTTAACATCATGTATTAAGAGATATAAAAAGATCTTGATTCAAAAGCCTTTGGAACATGTTGAAAAAATTCTCAAAGTAACATCAATAATCTTTACCAAAATCACAAGAATCAAGTTTTCTCTATAATTGTTTGAGCCTTTAGGCATGTTTTTCGACATCAAAAATAAGAAAACAATTTTTCATTGTTATTAAATTGTTTGAAGTTGCATTCTGGAAATTTTCAGCTCAATATATATTTTCTTTATTTTTACATGAAAATAATAAGAAAATAGAGTGTTAAAGCATATAAAATACTTACACTTGTAAATAAATTCTGGAAATATTTGTGTATGACCCTTTAAGTTAATAAACATCTTTCATGAAGTTTCATTGATTTTTGTTACTGTTTAGTATGGTTTTTAATTTTCTTTTTATTTAGCTCTAATAAATCATAAAACCATTTTAGGGAATGTGAAAATATTATTTCTTATTTTTCACAGCTTTTACCTTACATTTAAGACTCAGAAAAAGATTTTGGGAATTTTTCAAAACGTATATCTATTTTTCCATGATTTTTGTGTTTATAATGGATTAAAAACAGGAAAAATAGTTTTACTCATCCAAAATTCATGAAAATTTACCAGAAACTCTTATAATATGTTAGGATGATAAATAAAAAATTTGATGATTTTTATCTTCTGTATGCTATTTTTCTTCTATTT